TGGAGGCTTACATGTTACTATTGTGTGTTACTCTGGTGCTCAACAGGTTTCAGTGGAGCTTCTAGACTAAGCCTAGGAAGAAAGGCCTGGTTATCCGCTTCTGAAAAGCTGCCAATGAAAGCCTTATGGATCACAATTTGATCTAAAACTGGTCACAAGGATGGTACAGGACCCAGCAGTGTTTTCTTTTGTTGTGTATGGGATTGACATGCGTCAGGGGCTGACTCGGTGACGGTAGTAACAATAACAAGATCATCGTGAAAACACACAAATAAAGCAAATGGTTACCACCACAACAAAACCTGGTAGGGCCACACACTCAAAGTTGATGGGGGTTTCTCTTGGTTGTGGGATTATGGGTGAGTTTTCTTACAGTGATTGTTGATATTATCTAGACCCTTTTAGTTGTGAGTGACAGAGATCTCACTTCACCCAACTTAAGGAGAGGGAATTTCCTGGCTTTTGTAACTGGAAGTTTGAGGATTGCCCCAGCTTCAGGTAGGTAAGGATTTAAGGACTCAGACTATGCTGTAGCTGTAAGTCTTTGACTCTCTTTAGCTCATCTCTCTGGTTTCTCAGCCCACCTCTGTACACATGGTGGTAAGAGGGCCCCGGCCGTGCTAATGCTAATCTTACGTAGTCTTGAACAGGTAGCCAGCAGAATGGAATATTCTAACTAGGCATCCTAAGTGAAACTCCACCCAAGTATATGAACCAAAGACAGCTTTTGTAGAATTGGGACAATGTTGTTTCCCCAAGGAAAGGAATACTGAAAAGATCAACATATGTCCATTATACTGTGTTCCAAAATTTTCACAGTGAGTGGCCTCCAGAGATAACGGGTCCTAATCCCTGCAACCTCTAGATGTTGTATGGCAGAGACTTTGCAGATGTGATTAAGTGAAGGAGCTGAATATAGGGAGATTGTCCTTGATAACCCACCTAAGCCCTAAATGCCATTACAAGTGTCCTGGTAAGAGAGAGGAGGAGGGAGATTTCAGAGACAGAGAGGAGAAAGTGATGTGAAGACTGAGCAGAGAGATTTGAAGATGCCGGCCTTAAAGATTGGTGTGATACAGCACAGCCCAAGAATGCTGGCAGCTGCCAGACCCTGCAAGAGGCAAGGAGCAGATTCTCACCTAGAGCCTCTGCAGAGAGCTTGGCCTTGCAGGCACCTTGGTTTCTGCCCAGTGAAACTTCTGGCCACCAGAAGTGTGAGGATAAATTTCTGTTGTTTTAAGCCACTAGTTTGTGGTAACTTGTTACAGCAGCCACCGGAACCTAATACACAAGGGAATGCACCAAAGGACAGAACAGGACTGATGTATGGAGTGAAGGAAGCTTAGGCATCACATTATTAAGATGTAAAGCCTGGTTTGTCTGAGGAAGATGGTGCTAATGTGAAAAGTAGCTCACTGGACAATGTGGACAGGAACGGTTTAGTGGGTGGAAGATGAGATGTGCTGTGGATGTGTTTGAGGAGATGCCAGCCTACCCGAGTGGCTTCTAGACATAGGAGACCAGCAGGATGGAGATGAAGAGTAGAGGAGGTCATCAGCCCAGAAGAAATAGCAGAAGCAGGGTGCATATAAGCGAGCATTTGCCAATGCTTACCCTTCAGTTTTGCTCTTTGAGCATTCTCTTTCTGCCTCTTGAGGAATTGGGAGGTCAAGGGATCAAAAGAACATTGAGTTATTGTAAAGGCAGCATTGAACAATGGTCCAAATTCTGTATAGAATATAGGCAAAAAAGAATAATAGGCCCAGCCAGAGGCCATAGACTCAACAGTTTGGAAGGGGCTGGGTGACGGAGGTATATCTAATCTTGCTACTTTTTCTCATTTCTTTGCAGCTTCAGTCAGAAGCCAGTAAGAACTCTGACACCCTCGCGTCATCAGCTGCTCAGCCTCCTCTAGGTCAAAGCTTTGTGCAGAGCCACTTTCAAGCACAATATAGGTAAGAACAGGTATCTTTAGAATTCCTCACTTAGGGCTCAGCGTAATTATTTACTTGATTTACCTGAGATTAAAAAACAACAAAAAGAAATACCCCTCTCTCTCCTATTTTAATTTCCATTTAGCCACTTATTCCCGTCTGCCCTTTAGTAATTCTTTCCTTCTTCCTGGCTTCTGTGCCTTCCGTCTCCCCTTGGAGGAGGGATGATGAGAGGGTGGTGCTACAGAGTATGAATGTGGGGGCCAGGATTTTGCCAGCAAGCAATCCCTATTGATAGCATCTCTATGAGGTGCTACTTGGTTTTTTTTTTTATCAATCACTATTGATAGCATCTCTATGAGAGACGCTACTTGTTTTTTTTTTTTTTTTTTTTTTTTAAGCCAGAGAGCCTAATTTAATAACTCAAGAGTTACCAACATTATGGAAGTTATTGAAAAATACGTAATTACAGGGCCTTTGACTTCAGAGAATATATATTCTCTTCAGGCTTTTATATATGACAGTATCAGAGAATCATGTAAGGCAGAACATTTTCAAGTGTTACCACACTTTAGTGAGAACACTAACAATATGGGAGGTGAGAGAGAGGCAAAATCCCCTTGGGCTTCATGGAGGAGGTGTGTCTTCTGATGGGCTCTGAAGGGTGAATAGGATTGAATGGATGAGCACATATCCAACAAAAATGAATATAAGCTTAGTGAGATGTGCTCAGTGACCTGGACTTAGGGGAAGTCAGTCCATATAGAAAATCCCTGCAGGTGAGATACTTGCTCATCTATTTATAAATATTCATATACTTATTTAATCCCTAAAAGAGCCTCGGTACATGAGTGTTGCAATCTGGGAGGTTGGGCTTTTGCCAAGGACACATGTAAGTAGCAGAACTAGGATGTGTTCTCTGATCTGTTTCTGAAGCACAAGTTCTGCTTTTGCTTTCTTTGTAATTCTTTTTTTGGTTGCTTGTCTGTTTCACCTGCTTCTCTTGTCTTGTGATTTTCTGCTGTTAACATCAGTTGCACAGAAAGTGTGCCCTCTTGTTCTCTATCATTAGGGTAGTTAAGGTTCTGTATCAACTTGTCTGGGCCGTGATTTTGAGTGGCATGGCAGCTGGATGTAGTTTTTCCCCATGAGGAGATTGGATGTAGTGTGATCAACTCCATGGTAGAATCTGCAGTGAGACCTTAATCAGTGGAAGGGACGTCACCTTCGGGGTGTGGCCTCCTTCCAGTATATGTGAAGAGCTTTGGAAAAGGTCTCCAGCTTTTTGGCACGTTTTGGGCTGCGTTGCCTGGTGATTTGGGAATTGTTCCTGGACTTGAACTAGTGGCCTGCTGTGTTGCCTGCTGATCTTGGGAGTGTGCCATTTTACCTGCTGATCTTGGGGTCATCAGCCTCAGCTGTCAGCAGCTGCAGGAGTTGGAAGAAGCCTCTAGCTGCAGTGGGCCTGGAACAAGAAGCAGAGCTGAAGGCCAAGGTTGAGGGACCTTCACCCAGCTGTAGAGCCAGCACTCTGAACTTGGGCTTCTAGCCGCCTAAACAGTAAGAGAATAAATGCCTGTTTGTTCAAGCCATCCACTTGTGGTATTTCTGTTACAGTAGCACTAGAGAACAGAGACAACCATGAATACTGAATCTGTTTTTTTTTTTAATACTTAGTTTTCTTCTGGATGCTGTGTTAAATCTATTTTCAAAGATGTACTTTTCTCTAGGTCTTCTGAATGCCATTTCCTTTTCTTTTGTTCTGCCCTTTTTTATAGGCTATTTGTTTTTGTTTTCCTTCTCTGCTCTTCTCTTCAATCATTTAGTCTTCTAGAATTCACTTACAGCCATCTATTCCCATTCTTCCTGACCACTTATACTGGAGGTTTGTATTTCTGTTTGGAAAGGAGGTTACTTAAAATTGCCCAGAAACTGTCCTGATTTAGAATTCATATTCAGTAATCACCAATAAAATAAATAGGATGTGATCGCTCTCTCCGAGGGTGATTATTTGTTTAGGAAAACCGCGTAGTCTCTCCAACACTTTGGAAGAATGCCAAAGCTGCTTCTCACTGGAGCAGCAAACCCCCAGCACTTGGCATTCTCTTGCTCTCTGCTCCCCCGAGAGGAGGACCCTGAAGGTAGCAGTCAGAATGACCGGGGGGCACCCAGTTTCTGTCCTTGGATGCTTAGACTTTTGAGTTATGATAATTTCTTCTAAATAACCCCAAATTTCATTATTGTACATAAACAAAGGCCAACTTATTTCCTGAGGGATATGGTAAGTGTTGTGTGCCATCGAGTAAGCCCTGACTCACAGCGACCCCTCCTTGGGTTTCCAAAGCGATATCACTATGGAAGTAGATTGCCCAACCTTCCTTCTGAGGAGTGGCTGGTGGATTTGAACCGCCAGCCTCCTGGTTAGCAGTCAAGTATCTTAGGCACTGTTGTTGTTGTTATGTGCCGTCGAGTCGGCCCCAACTCATAGCGACCCCTCCTTGGGTTTCCGAGGCAGTATCACTACGGAAGTAGGATTGCCCAACCTTCCTTCCGAGGAGTGGCACTACACTATCAGAAATCCCATATGGTAACTATGAGGTATGAATAAAGGAAACTTAGATTTTGTTGCTACTGTCTTAGTTCCCAAGGCTGCCGTAATAAAGTACCACAAACTGGGTGGTTGAAAACAGCAACTATTTGTCCTCTTAAAGTTCGGGAGGCTAGAGGTCTGAAGTCAAAGTGTTGACGGGGCCACACTCCCTCTGAAAGCTTCCATCATTCTGCCTTGTGCAGCTTCTGGTAACCCCAGGTGTTCCCTGACTTGTGGCAGGGTAACTCCAGTCTCTGCCTCTGTCTCCACATGGCCAGCCTCTTTCTGTGTCTGTCTCTCTTCTTCTTTTATCAGGACACCAGCCATATTAGATAAAGATTGCTTCATCTTAATTAATTGTATCTGCAAAGACCTTATTTCCAAATAAGGTCACGTTCCCACATACCAGGGGTTAGGACTTGGCCATATTTCTTTTGTGGGGGGATGGAGGGGACACCGTTCAACCCGTAATAGCCATCAATCTTTTTAGGCCATAAAAGCTACTCATAGGGCATCTGTGTCATCTTAAGATGCTGAAAGCAGAAGTTATTAGAAACAACATTAAGGAAACAGAGGAAAAGAAGACTAGAGGAAAAGAAAAAAGAAAATTGAGAAGAGAAAGGTGGACATAGAGGGGGCATGCTACAGAGTAGGGGAAGATTGCCAATAATTGCCACTAAATATAATTCTTTGTATTCCCCCCTTTCCTTCTTCCAGATATCTGGGTGCCTGCTTTCGTGTTTCGTACAATAATTACAATGAGGGACAAAACTCTTGTCCATGAGAGAGAAAAATACTAATCAAATATGTATGCGTTCATTGTACACATATATACTTCATGCCTACTATCCACCAGTCATTCTGCAGAACGAAGACTGGGCAATCTTCCATAAAAATTTGTTGTTGTTGTTATTTGCCGTCGAATCAGACCTGACTCATAGCGACCCCTCCTTGGGTTTCTGAGGCAGTATCACTATGGAAATAGATTGCCCAACCTTCCTTCTGAGGATTGGCTGGTGGGTTTGAACCTCCAGCCTTCTGGTTAGCAGTCAAGTGCCTTAGGCATTATGCCACCAGAGCTCCTCCATAAAGATTTAGTGCCTTGGAAACCCAATAGGGGTTGCTGTGAGTTGGAATTGACTCGATGGCAGTGGGTTTGGTTTCTGCTTTATATGCTGGGTGGAATCTCTGGGTGGTGCGAACAGTTATGTTGCTAACCAGAAGTTTGGAGGTTCAAGTCCAACCTGAGGCACTGCAGAAGAAAGGCCTGGTGATCTATTTCTGAAAAATCAACCATTGAAACCCTATGGAGCACAGTTCTACTCTGATCCACGTGGGATTGCTGTGACCTGGCGTCAGCTCAGCGGCAAATGGTTTGGTTTACGTGCCAGGTACTTTGCTTGGTGCTGGGAGCTGAGCTGTGAACAATACCCAGTCCCTGTTCTCAAGGAGCTCACATTCTGTTGGGAGAGATGGTGGATAATACATAACAACTTGTGATCATGGTAAGTAAAATGATAAAGAGTAACTTGGGAGGTGGGGGAGGCAGCCAACCTTAGATAAGGTGGTCAGGGAAGGCTTCTTTTTAGAGGGGACATTTGAGCTGAGTGACAAGGAGTGACCTTTTCATTCAAATTGTTGGAAACAGAGAATTCCAGGCAGAGGAAACAGCAAAGGTGAAGGCCCTTAGGTGGGAATAATCTTGGCCAGTTCAGGGAGCAGGAAGGCCTTTGGAGCTGCCAAGCAGTGAGTGGATAAGAGATGAGGTTGGAGAGAGAGGCAGGATGTGGTGGTGAAGCCTTCAGTCCATGGGAAGGAGTGTGGGTTTTAATCTCAATAGCACTCACAGCCATTGGAAAGTTTCAGGCAGGGGCTGTCCAGTTTAGTGACTGGGTTACTCTGGTAGTTTTGGCCATGAAGGGAGACAAGAATAGATGCAGGAGCAGTAGCTGAGATGTGAAAAGAGAGAATCAGCAGGCATTGGTGGTTCAGTGGTAGAATTCTCACCTTCCATGTGAGAGATCTAGGTTCAGTTCCCGGCCAGTGCAGCCACCACCCATCCCTCAGTGGAGGCTTGTGTGGTGTTAGGATATAGAACGGGTTTCAGCGGAACTTTCAGACGAAGATGCAGACAGGGAGAGAGGCCTGGTGATCTGTTCCTGAAAATCCGCCAATGAAAACCTGATGGATTGCAGTGGTCCAAACTCACTGCTCACGGGACGCAGTGCTTTATTCATCATGCATGGAGTTGCCGTGAGTCAGGGACCAACTCAACAGCAGCTGGTAGCAACAGCAAAGAAGAATGATGGTGGCTAGGCCCCCAGACGTGGCGGTAGAGATGGAGAGAAGTGGATGGATTTGCATATGTTTTGGATGTGGCTTCAACAGGGCTTACTAAGGGGTTTAGGAGTATGGAGTGGAGGAACTGAGG